TATATAGAGAGAGAGAGAGAGAGAGAGAGAGAGAGAGAGAGAGATATCACCCTTGAGAGAGAGAGAGTTATATCACCCTTGAAGGAGCCGCGCGCTGACCGGTGTCATCGAAAGTACCGAGTGTCGTTTTGCGCCACGCATCCCCTTCTTCTCATCGCGCACCTGACTGAAGTATGCCAGAGAAAAGAGACAGCGCTCAATCCATCCGGGATTATTCATACATCGCATGAGAAGCATTTTACCGCGCCGATCTGTGCCATAATCATTCATCCTTAGGAGTGGGTGTGCAGGTAAGGACGCAGTGAATAGCATTGAGATCCGTGCTGGAGAACAGTGATTCACGTACACTGTTATAATGTCCGTTGATTCCTGTACGGTGAATGCAGCGAACACCGGCCTGTGCTGGCCACATACTGCAGTCATTTCTGGGCCGTGTCTTGAGCGATATTGTGCTTGTTGTAAATGTCACCCGCTGGTTTTGTGTTTAAGAAAGCCAGGCCTGGTATTTATATCCGCACGCTGCTGCATTTTCCAACACACTGCCCATTGGACCACATTGAGGAAAGTTGCTTGTAAGCCCAATAAGTGCCAATGTAAAGTGACAGGCCTGAATGGAAGAAAACATTTGATAGGTGGCATGAACATTAGATATGTAAGCCGACGAGAATAAACAGCGCTGGGTGTAAACGGTGATGATGGGAATAGTGGTTAACAATGCGGTAAAGGCATTGAAGAAATACATCATCTATGCATCCTAGCTGCACCCACAGCTCCAGTCATGTGTCAGAAATTAGCAGCAGCAGTGGACTTTTTGTGTAAAACGTGAAACTGCCATCCATGACCTGTTTTGCAGCATTAAAAGAATAGTCTCATGTGAGGTGTCTAATTTTCAGATCTTGGGTTAGTTGAAACAAGAGGCAGGGCATATGAGTCATAGTAAGGTTAAATGCAATCAGTAGGTTATATATGTTGGTGTGTCTGCATTGCTCCCGTTGTATTGTCTCCTGATATCGATGCACAACCTTACTGTATATAGTATTTAGACTGCAAAGGAGGCACAGAAGCTGCACCTAAAGCAGCATATATGGCACAAAAATGTTTGTTTATACAGACTGTTAAATTCTGCACATACAGCAGGTGGAATAAGTGCATTTACAACAGGAGTTATAATAGCAAAAATTATGTTATGAAATTGATATTTTATGATTATTGAAAAATTGTAATGAAAATATAAAATTCTAAATATAAATATGATCAACATATCATAAAACATAAAAAAATGAATGAATCATTTTAATAAAAAAAATAAAAAAAATTTTTTTAAATAAAATGTAAAAGGAACAACATTTTGAAATGATAAAAAATTTTTTATTTATGCTTGTTATACTTGCACCTTTTAAAATATACTTTGAGCCACCTATAATCACCCACATCTCAATTATGTATGAAACCATATACATGTGATATATGTCATTTTATTCATTGAAAACACTGCTGGTGTAGTCTGTGAAATTCCAATAGTTATATACTGTATATGTGGTATAAATTTCTTAATACACAACTTGCTTAGACTTCTGCATTCAGTTGATTTGATGCAAATGCATATTTTTTTAAATGAGATGTTTTTTTGCACATTGTAATCTACTCTCTTTTCAGTCTTTCACAGTGATGGGATTGAAGGCTTGCTTTACTAGCAAAGGATTTCATAACAAAAGTGTAACCTACACAGTGTGATGTCATAGCCCTGATGCTGTTCGTAGTGTTGACATTCACTTTTGCACCTATTAGTTGGTTGTCTTTTAAAATAAATTGGTGAAATAAAAATGAAATCATATTGGGTTTCTGAAAAACAAATATACACAGCTCTGTTTATAAGTGCATATGTTTAATGTGTTGTCCACACTGTAAAAAAATTCCGTAAAATTTACGGTAAAAAAACGGCTGCTGTAGTTGCCGGAATTTTACCGTAAAAAAAATACGGTAGCGACGTTTTAGGTTTTACGGTTTTAACTTAAATTTAGAGTTAAATACCGTAATTTCATTAACTGATATAATGTTAATATACCAACCTACTGAAGGGCCTTTGTAATACACTGATAACCACCAAATGCAGGTGGTGATGAGCAGATTTTCAGTGGAATAAATTCATCATTATGTCTATATCTACTTAATTCAATCAAGAAATGAAGGAAGGTGGCAGCAAGCATAGAGAGAGAGAGAAGTCCTCTGCCCGGAGACTGGCGGCCTTCATGTTAATGTAGCATGGCATGATCTCCCTCAGGTCCTCCTTGACTCTTTGAGGACTGGATCACTTTTTTTTATTCCCCTGAAAGCAACATATACAGTCTGAGAAGAAGCTCCAGCTCCTGATCTATATCTGACCTGTTTGAGTTTAAATGTAGAATGTCCTTTTTAAAGGGCAACCGCTGTTTTTGTTGAGGCAGATTCTTCTGTCAGATTATCCACGTCCAGCCCGTCTGTCCCTCTGTCTCACATTGTCTTGAAAAGATGGAAACTGATTTAGGAACATGATATCATTATGATATTAAAGCAGATTTATCCTAATGCTTATTTCTTGACCGTGAGGAGACAGGGTGGATGGTACCTGCTGCTTTGATAAATTAAAAAGAGCTAACTAATTAATATAAGCTGGCCCAGACCAAATCATATTGTATTTTCTGGGCCAAAAATCTGTGGAATTCTGAGAAATGGATTTCGTGGTATGGTACAAATATGTTCAAATGAGCTGAAAGAACTACACTCTTATTGCTGAATAGCTGAAAACATAATTAAATTAGCTCAAATATTTAGTAAATACATAAACAAGCAGTAGGACATGTCCAGAACTTGATGTCTTCCAATTCTGTGAAAATTTCCTATGCACTGAAAAAAATTATACTTTGGACCAACTTAAAAAAACAAACAAATACTCTAATTTGTTAGTTTTTCACAAATCCTATTTATAGTTACATTCAAACCTTACATTTTGATTTAATATTAATCAAAAATATTAATTTACCATAAGACAAAAATAATCATACAAAGTAAAACATTTATTTAAAATACATCTACACTCTTATTGCTGAATAGCTGAAAACATAATTAAATTAGCTCAAATATTTAATAAATACATAAACAAGCAGTAGGACATGTCCAGAACTTGATGTCTTCCAATTCTGTGAAAATTTCCTATGCACTGAAAAAATTATACTTTGGACCAACTTAAAAAAACAAACAAATACTCTAATTTGTTAGTTTTTCACAAATCCTATTTATAGTTACATTCAAACCTTACATTTTGATTTAATATTAATCAAAAATATTAATTTACCATAAGACAAAAATAATCATACAAAGTAAAACATTTATAAAAAATACATAATATGTTTTATTTAGACATAAGTCAAATGTTACTTAATGTTGGTCAGTATGATTAAAACTTAATTTCACCATAAACCAAAGTTAAATGAGCTCTAATAGGAAAGTAGAATTTCATTCATATAAAACTAAGAAAACTTTGTTAGTCAGTGTTTCATTTTAATATTTATTGTGATGTCTTTTGAAAATATGCATAATATTTTATGTTATGTACTACACTGTAAAAAGTGTCATCTTAACGAATTATTTCTACCTTATTTTACATATAAAAATCAATGTATTTAGGTGGAAGCAGTCATAATATTTTTTATTTGAATAAAACCAGTAAATTTAGATCTTATCATTTTTAGGTTATATTTTAAAAAAGCTCCAGAAACATAATAAAACTCTGCAGTAAGTAAGGCTAGTATATATTCTGCACATGAATGCTCTGGTGTCAAGGGAACATTTTACTTGTCACACAATTTCTGAAAGCTGACAAAACCATACATTAATTCTCAGCCTTTGACTCAGTTTTCATTTTCATAAATTAAAACACTTTTTGCAAAACACAACACACAATTCTATGTAACACACAAAAATCTAACAGGAATTAATATTACGGCAAAGGTGTTTGCAAATGTTTGCTTTTGAGATGTGTTTGTGATATTTTCAATGCAGTGCTTCATTTTGCAAGAGATGTGAGGCATTTTGCATTTTGTGTGTGCAGTTCTTGGATTTGTATGTAAAGTTTTGAAAAAAAACTGTAAACATAATAATCTTAATTTTTTTTCTATGTTGAAAAAGATATTTGCTTCTATAGACAAACTGAACAAAACCATGATTTTTCATTAGACCAATATAAAAATGCACTTTATGACACAGTCGTTTGAACTTATTTCAGTGTGTGAATCACGGTCAGCTGTTGAATAGTGTCCTTTTGATTCCATCATTTCTTGGTGAAATTGTGTATCTCTAAGGAGGTGAAAGGCTGAGCAGAGTTCACGTTTGTCAGCTCTGTAAGAGAGACAGAGATTTATCGACTGGCCGGTTCTGTGAGGAAGGTCCAGAGCACAGCCAAAGCCGTATAATAATGAGCAATACTCTGCAAGGAATAGCAGTAGAATAAGGCTTCAACTCCTTGATTTACCCACCTTCAAAAAAACAGGCCTTTTCGACACATTTACTCACTAAAATCCACAGTCCATCAACCAGAACTACTGATTTTGCCTTAAACCTCAGAAGATAAATGACCTGAATCTAATGCAGTCACTGTGTGTGTGTGTGTGTGTGTGTGTGTGTGTGTGTGTGATTCTTGAGATGGCTTGTGAGGAGTGCAGTTAATTGTGAACGTGTGAACGCCTGAAGTCTTGTGCTCCTCTCACAGCTGTGTTTGTTTGTCAGGGAGAAACACATGTCAGTCAGATCCTGCAGTCAGACGCCTGTCATGTCCGTGGACACCAGGTGCTGGGGAGGAATGAAGCCCCGACAGGCCTGGGATAAGGACAAGAGAGCCTGACACGAGGTCAAACCGTTACTACTGCTATCAGAGAAGTGGGCAGGGAAACCCTGGGTACATTATACTGACTCCCAATGTCATCCGATACACAGGTTGTGTAAGAGATACATTGCAAATTTGTTTTCTTACTAGCTAAATTTGCGTGTGTGGATTTCCTGTTGTTGTTTGTGTATTATTAACAGTGTTGGGGGTAACGCATTACAAGTAACACAAGTTATGTAATCAGATTACTTTTTTAAGTAACTAGTAAAGTAACGCATTACTTTTTAATTTAGAAGGAAATATCTGAGTTACTTTTTCAAACAAGTAACTCCAGTTACTTTTTTCCCCCATGTATTGACTGACAGCTCTTGTGTTGCCATATTGAGAGAAATCGGGAGTAAGTGCAGAGGCG